AAAAATCAGAAGACTAGAATTCGTCTACTGGAGCTGTTGTCAGTAATCAATAAAACAATACAAAAGAACTGCTTTCAATACCATGTATTAGACAAAATTAAAGTGAACAATACAAGACAAACATACACAGGACCAAAAACAAAAAATATATATACACAGTACTGCGGCAGTCCTTCATTGGTTTGTGCACAAAGGGTCTTGATTTCCCCGCTGGTCAGTCCAAAACCTGACCGACACACATTCAGAAGTCCACGGTTGAATTATCCAGATATTTAAGTTGAAAATGTCCCAGCGCAAGTCCTTTCAGATGAAAAGATGAATAATGGAGTGTGTGCCTGAGTGGTGAGATGGAGGGGGAATTGATACAGACCAGACCAGGATGAAGTGATTCTTAGGGCTCTCCTGGCTCCAGCCAGTTTTCAGAAGCTCGCCATCCTTTAATCCTACAAAGGGATCCCCTGGCCTGTATTAAAATAAACAGGACCAGTAAATTTCCAACCTGCTAGTTAACTAGACTTTTTTCAGTTGCATACAGAAATAAATGCAATAAATCTAATCTTTCAGATCAAATAAAGAACCATTCATCTCATTATCTTAAACATGTAGAACTTAAGTTAGATCATACAACAGATAATGATCACAATTAGCATTGGCTACCACCAACATGCTAAAACAAACAAAACATTGTGTTCACTACTCACCAATTCTATCAATAGTTGGGTGCATGACAGCTTCATGTCTCCAAACTCACCGGATTCTCAGATCTACATGATTTTTATATTAAAAGGTTAAAAAGTGCATAACAAGCAAAGGGATGAACTGACTGAAAACACCAACCTGCAGCTCCTTTGTCTCCAGCTCTCCCCCTCACACCTGACTGAGGAAAGCTGGAGCAGGCCTAAATAATTACCTCAGGTGTGTCAATTGGTTGAATGCACTGTGTGACTGACTGTCACTCTAACCAATGGGGCAACAAGGCAGGACTAAGGGCAGTTTTTTTCCTACCCCGGGTTAC